GGTGTATATGGTGACTTTAAGTGCAGACAAACCTGTGAGCGAAAAAAAATGATAACGTCGTCAGACCGGAAGTTATAATGAAAAAAACTTTTTTCCTTTAGAAATTCCTGAAAAATCAACCACGACAGTTTTTTATATTATTTTTACTTTAATTGTCGATTGAAGGGTAGGTCTTAAACATTTTGAAGTTTCGAAGCAATAAGCGAACTTGGACTTGCCCTGTGCACGCTTAAAACTTCAGGTTGACAATGCCTCTGCTTTAAAACACGCACAGGACGTCCACAGTGTACATGTTCATGCACGTACGTTGTACATATACACATACATCGTTTGTCAGTCAGCCTGCAGCGCATGTGATGTTGCGGTTAAATGCTCACATTTACCTACAGAGCTTCGTCACGAATCGAACGGCCGCGAGAGTTCGACAGCTCTGTTTTTATAAACTACACATTTACAAGAGAAGTAGCGAGTCGCCAAGATGGCATGCATGGTAAGTTGAAAGCGAACGTTTTTTTTCCTGAATGATTTGTGGATTCAGTAATGGATTCAGTATAGTTGGCAGTATAGTTGGCAGAAGTTGGAATGTGATTTTGAGGATGAATTTTGTTTTTTTCATTTTTAGTTTCTTCGCCGTGGCTTGACTAGGTTAGGACAAAAAAATGATCACCACACATCGATAAAGAAGGCAAAGTGCTTTCGTTGAATTAGCTTGTGCTAGTTTTTGTGGCCACTTTTTTGTAGGTTTTCTGCCTAGTCTTTTAGCATGTACGCGGGCGGAGAACGGTGTGCAGCAAGTCACCATGCACACGAACACATAATTTCAGGGGGGTTAATTGGCTTGTTTTGAGGATGCTAATTTGTTTTCATGTCATGCATGTTAAATTCCTTTTTTATGTACGTTTTGTTTCGCAATTGTCTTTATTTATAGATGAGATATATCCAGCTATAAATATGTGGTTTTTATGAAGACAGTGGTTTAAATTTGGAGAATTCACTTGAAAACGAACGAACCCAAAATGCAAATTTTAAAATTCTTTTTGTATTTTGTTTGTAAGGCAATAGGTATTCGCACACAATTTTGAAAAACGTGTGACGTCATGATGACGTCGTCAAAATTGCGATTTTTGAAAACACAAATAAGGGAAAGTCTGATCTTCATAAAACTTGTTGGATAGCTAAATAATGATACTGGTAAGCAAAATCTAAAATGACGTCACCATGACGTCATTGCATGATTTTTATTATTTTTTTAATATTTACAATTTCATTTCGCTTCCAAAATTTAACACTTCCTTTCATTGCATTAACTTCAAGCTTAGTACAAACCAACACCACAATGCAAAAATGTGCATTGACAAGTGTTATCAAGATGACGTCATCGTAATAAGGATTTAATAAGGATTTATTTCCCTTTGACGATAATATATATCTTACAGACGCTACATGCTAAATTCTAAAATGCTTGTACCGTATACTCTAAAGCGTTGTACATGCATAGTCTGTGACGCGTTATTGATAAAAAAAATAATCATAATGCGGAAAAGCCCTATGTGCTATTGCAAACAGACATAGATTTCTAGTTTGTTCATTTCTCTTCTTCTTTTTGTCGCCTAAATCCAATAGACTTTGTACACGTTTTTTCTCAGTGCCACTTTTGGCATTAATCTTTGTCATACATCATTCAAGTAAGCATAGTCATAGTCCTTATTGTAGAGATGTGCCCCGAACAGTGACGTCATGATGACGTAATCCTGGGTCACGTGACGTCTTCAGAAACGAACATATTTTGAAGTCATATATCTACAAAACTGCAAGTCCGATTGTAACTCGGTATGCAGGTAGACCGGGATGTGTTAAATGTAAAAATTGAGGTGACGTCATGATGACATCATCGTGCGATTTTATATGATTTTTTGAAGTTTTGGACCTTTAAGCCATATCTCACGAACGCAACAAGCAAAATTCAAAATACTTTTCGTATTATGTTTGTTACGTAACATGGAATATGTACACAATTTTGAAAAATGTAAGACGTCATCATGACGTCATCAAAATGCGATTTTTAAAACACATAAAAGGGAAAGTCCGGCCGTCATGAAACTTGGTTGATAGCTAGATATTGGTACTAGTATGCAAAATCCGAAATGACGTCAACATGACGCCATCGCATGATTTTTTAGAATGTTTATCATATTTACAATTTCGTTCCCATTCCAAGATTAAACACTACTTTTCGTTGCATTGACTTCAAGCTTGGTACAAACCAAGACCACAATGCAAAAATGTGCATTGACAAGCGTTATCAAGATGAAGTCATCATGACGTCATCATGTGATTTTGTATTTAATTTTGAATTTTTGAAGACTTTTGCCATATCTCACTAACGCAATATGATAAATTCAAAATTCGTTTTGTATAAGGTTCGTTGGGCAATAGATATAGGCACAACATTTCGAAAATTGCGTAACGTCATGATGACGTAAGCAAAAATGCGATTTTTTTTTTTATAAGGGAATATCCGATCGTCATGAGACTTGGTGGGCGGGAAAATAATAACATTAGTACACAAAATCTTGAATGACGTCACGATGACGTCATTGGTAGATTTTTAACGATTTTATTAATATTGCCAATCTGATTCTGCTTACAAAATTTAACACTTTCATTAATCCGATAGTTTTCAAACTTGGTATAGACTAAAACCACAATAAAATAATGAGCACAGCCAAGTATTGTTACAATGACGTCATAGTTAGACGTCATCGTTTGTATATTTTAAGCCCCTATATTTCATCAACAGTAATTTAGATTGGGTTGAAGATTGGAACGGGGGAAGGCCGGGATGTGTTACAAAAAAATATTGAGCTGACGTCATCATGACGTCATCTTGTGATTATATATATATATATATACATTATATATAAGACTTTTGCCATATCTCATAAATGCAATATGCCAAAATTAAATTTCCTCTTGAATGAGGTTTGTTAGACAAAACGTAAATGCACACAGTTTTGCACAAAACAGAAAAACATGACCTCAATTAAAAAAAAAACCTTATGCGGTAAAGCCCTATGCTCTGTTGCAAACAGACATAGACCTCTAGCCATAGACGTTGTACACGATTTTTGTACACGCCACTTTGAAGATTAGCACTATATCTCTCTAACCCAACATTCTAAATCTAAAAATTATTTTGTATTAGGTTTGTTAGGTAATAGGGATGTGCACAAAATTTTGAAAAATTCGTGACGTCACGATGACGTCATCCAAATGCGATTTTTAAAAACAAATATTAGGGAAGGTCCGATTGTCATGAAACTTGGTTGATTGGTCGATAATTTACTAGCATTCACAATCAGAAATGACGTCACCATGACGTCATCGGTTGATTTTTTTATGATTTTTTATATTTAAAATTTCGTTCCGCTTCCAAAATGTAACACTTCCTATTACTGGATTGACTTCAAGCTTAGTACAAGCCAAGACCACAATGGAAAAAGTGCATTGACAAGTGTTATAAAGATGACGTCATCGTAGAGCCTGTGACGTCAACATGACACCATCAACTAATTTTTTATATATTGCATATCTGTTGGCTATACAACCTCAATATAACTTTAATGAACTTTGAATACAAAAATGTAATTTATATGATTGCATATTAACTCAAAAGTCATACAACTCTAGTTTTTTCTTCTTTTGCAGCCATTTCCCGTAGCAATTGTACACGTTTTCATAGTGGAATGCACTTTGGGCACTAAAATCAATCTGACTCGGCACACACTTAGTCCAGCACCTGAAGATGTGTGCCGAGCATTGACTTCATTATGACGTCATCAATAGTCACGAGACGTCACAATAAGGTGCATATTTTGAAGACCGTTATCTCCAGAACTACAGGCCCGATTGGGTTGAAACTTGGTATGTTCCTAAACCGGGATGTGTTATAGATGAAAATTGAAGTGACGTTACGATTACGTCATCACGTGACATGTGACGTCATAATAAAAGGGCATATTTTTTAAGGCAAATATCTACAGAACTACAGGTCTAAATGGGTTGAAACCTGGTACGTACCTAAACAGGGATGCGTTATACATACAAATTGAAATGACGTCACGATGACGTCATCACGTGACATGTGATTTCATATTAAAAGTGCATGGAAGGCCTATATCTACAGAACTACAGCTCTAATTGGGTTGAAACTTGGTATGTACCTAAACCGGGATGTGTTATGGAGTACAGAAGTGTGACGTAATTTTGAACTAGAAAGTGTAGTGCAAACGAATGGAGTGCTCGCGCGTGTTGGTTTACTGACATGAATCACGGGCTTAGTTCTTTCACACACATTTTATGCGTGTGACGTAGTCACTTCGGTACTCCATAGATAACATTGAAGTGACGTCACGATGACGTCATCACGTGACATGTGATGTCGTATAAAAAGTGCATATTTTGAAGGCCTATATCTACAGAACGACAGGTCCTATTGGGTTGAAAGGCGGGGCTGTGTTATAGATTAACATTGAATTGACGTCACGATGACCTCATTACGTGACATGTGACGTCATATTACTGTGCCTATTGGGACGGCCAATATCAACAATACTATATTACTCCTGATCACTCTACTGCACATGTTTGTCCTGTCAGTCTATTATATGACATAACAATACAATAACAAATTACCGAAACAGCCTTATGTTTGAACACAAACATGCATTTAGTTTATGGATTACAACAGAAGTTAAAAAGAGGAGATCAGCTGATCCAAGGAAAACCTTCATGCCTGATGTACATAGCGAATGGCAAAAGACAGCCAACACAAAATATTAGCATCACTCGTATTGTGATTTTGCCCACATTAAACAAGTATCAACACTTTCAAAGCACCATATTTCAAGAGATGTACATAAAGTGCAGGAGATAACAGTTTGCTGAAATTTGAAAACAAATATTACATTATCTATTTGTACAACATACAATGTACTTACCAACAGCTGTTGGGTCTTCCTCAGAGCTTTCCTGGTTGAACATGGCTTGGAATCGGTCCGTTTCAATCGATATTTGAGGTTTCTTATCAATCCTGCAGGAAACCTTCGATTTAGCCAAGCACTCTTTCAGACTCAAAAAGTGAAGTGAGCTGCGCTGGCACGGGCATTCAACGCTGAAAATGTAGTTGATTCCCTTGATCCACATGTCTGTCATTTTTTTAAGATGTCGTCCTACAAAACCAAGTACCTATTTCACAAAAAGGTTGATCTTTAATAATAATAGCAGCCTTCAGAAGTTGGTTGAAGAAGGAAAGAAATATAGGGCAAAAAGCCGTATGCATGGCGATATACTAAGGTTGGATGAAATGTATCAACTTTGCTATTTTCATCATCACATTGTCAAATGTAAGTCCTTATTGATATTATTGTGGCGGGCTGTTCCCAAGCCAAATTATTCCTCGGACCAAAGCAGTCTAAAGGCTAAGGGATGCAGGCTCGTTTTGGGTGGAAATCTACTGCCGCAGGAATTGATTATTAAACTCTCTGTTAATTGGGCAATTACACAATAACAACGACAATTGGCAACTGAATGATCGGAAATCTCAAGTAACCACGATGATTTATTCAAGAGATTTATTCCAACGACTCGTCAGTCGCAGCACAAACCGACGTATCCCAATTGTTGAGTTTTTGAGAAAAAACGATTTAAAGTGGTCAGTTTTAGTAGGCTCATTCCTCATACTCCCTGTGTAGGAATTCAATCAGGGTTTAATTTGTTTCAGCTAAAAAATTCTAGTTTAAACTTCATCGTATGCTATCCGTTTGCTTCTGAGATGCTTAGTTTTTAGGATATTTAGTTCCCAAGATACATGTCACTTTGTAAAACGTGACGTCACGAATTTCATACAACGTGGCCACGTCGAAAATACGAGGATACGATGGTTCGTGTAACGGTGAATTCAAACTTTTCATGATGACGCTGATTAGAACTACGTCGCAGCGCTATTGGAATTAGCGCAAGAAGCGGCGTATCGGGATACGCCACTTTGTGGTGAAACATTTTTGATTTCTTAGAGATACGCCGCACAGTCTAATGAGCGGTCTTAGTTAGTAAGAACTCAGATCAGAATAAAACTGTCTGAGGATAAACTCTTTAATGAAAAAATAACGTTAATGACAAAAGGTCCATTTGGCAAACAATCGAGATACGCCGGTTCGTACTGCAACCGAAGAATGATTAAATGATTTGGGAATGATTGTCTGGAGTGCCTCTAGTACAACCTGTGGTTTTTGAACCAGCCCTATTTGCAATACTCAGCTATTATCGCACTGCTCAACCCTAGTCAGCAGTGCACTGACCAATATTGCCCTGCTCACTCCAATATTTAGCACTCCACAACTCAATGTCGCACTTCTTAAAAAACATTGCATTGCATAGTTCAGTGGCACTGTGGAGATATGTTTGCTCGTACGTAGTACCACGAAACCATGGGCCCAGCCCATGGGCCCAACCACAATGCACCCGCAAGTGTACGGCTTAACTGTCCGACCTGTGCTACAACTGGTAGCCAGTTCGCCCACGCGTAGCATATAGCGCCCAAACCCTATAGCTATTAGCCTTGACCAAGGCTATCAGCTTGTTTCCAAACGAGCTTGTTCCCGCTACCGCACACCGCGCACGCCGCGGCACACTTATTGTACTCTTCCGTTAGCCTCGACGACCCTTGCGTGTGCGTCGTGTGCTTGTACGTACGCCCATCACACACTTCCGCACGTACCACACACACTTCCGCAAACAGCCGTAAAAGAGGTCGAGGGGACGCCTTGACGCAACTATGGCGAATTCTGTATGTGTTTCTTTATATTTTCGGCCGAATTCGGCCGAGAATTTCTGATGCACATATATAACATGATATCAAATCAAAGCCCGTAATTTTTGACCTGCGACATACATGTTCATGCAGCCCGCAAATTACCTTATACACCACGTATGTTCGCTCAAAAATAAATGTCCAGGTATTTCAATTCCATTTTAAACCATTTCTCCAGTTTTATTCTAAGTACATATGTAATTTGCCGCTATATGAATGAACACTTGTTCATATATGATGATAGTATTTCCAAAACTATTTCAGAACTAGACAGTTCTAGACAGAACTATCCGTTGACGTTTATTGTCGTGCATCAGCGAACATTATCACGCCGCTACCCGTACCTGCCCGTGACATTCTGACAGCGAATGTAGGAAACAGTTCAACCCGGATCCAATTCAAATCGTACCCATTTAATTGACTTTGGAATGGAAATATACGAAACTATCATATAGGCACATGGTGAAAAAAACTCTCCCTGAATTCGTACCATGTACAACATATATCTCATACATACGACATTTTAACGCGTACGTATGGATTGTATGTCGTACTTACAACTTACGTACAACATGTAAGTCGTAGGAATAACATATAAATCGGACCTAAATATTGTATGATATACAAGTCATCCATACGAGTTACAATACATATGTCGTACGTACGAGATACAAGTCGTACTCACAAGATATGTCGTTTGTACGACATAATCGACCAACAAGTCGAACGTACGAGTTAAAATTCATATGTTGTACACACGAGATATTAAGTCGTACGTATATACGACAAAATCGTATGCGACATATATCATACACTGTCGGCTCGACATATAAGATCGTACGCACGACATATATGTCGTACCGGCACCTGTCGACAACATGTGATATATTTGATATGTCATACCCTGTCGACATATATGTCGTACTCTGTCGATGTTAAAATCAGTCTTACGGAATAAGTTAGGTGAAGCAGAGGAATTTTTTTCCCATATCCCTATTATTGACAGCTTAGTAGAAATACCCCCCAAAAGTGTGAGCGCTTTTTTGGCGTTGACCGAGCAAGCGCAGCGTGTCTTACCGCATAGCGCAAGCCCGGCCGGGGCCTCACAGTTGACGGCCACGACGTGGTCTCTGTGCACGGTGACATCTTTTTGCCGGCGTGCAGTTAGTGCCGTTCGCTGTTTTTTGAAGGTCTAGTTGTTCATCCTTTTCATTCATTTAATTTTCGACCCAAACTATGTATAACTTTGTAAATATTATTATACTACCATTTAACATTTTAAGGGGGTGTTTTACAATATTACCACAGGCCGTCTGGTTTATAAACCTTTGGTTGCATTATGCAATTTAATAAATATATATTTTTTTGTCAGCCATTATCCAATGAGAGAAGACTTTTTACCATAACGCGTACTAATTATCATATTGAGCATACACCGTTGCGTCACAGCTATCCTCCGCCTCGACTTACTGTACGGCTGTTTGCGGAAGTGTGTGTGGGCGTACGTACATGCACACAAAGCACACGCAAGGGTCGTGAAGGCCAACGGAATTGTACAACTAGTGTGTCGCGGCGCGCGTTTGCGGTAGCGGGAACAAAGCTCGTATGGGAACAAGCTGATGGCCGTGGTCAAGGATATACAGGGTCTTTAAAAAGAAGAAACTGAGGTTATTTTGTTGATTTCTCTGGTATGACTAATTATTTAGGAAAATGGCAACCACCATCTGTTACATAACCTGTCTTCTTTTTCTTGAACTCCATTTTACCGTCACAAATGACTGAGCACCAAGTGATGTAGCTGACATGCCAGAAATAGCCTTGTTCCACATGCACCATAAGACCAATTGACAGTTTTCAGCATGTTGAAAATAACAAAATCCAGGACGTACATTATCAAAGTCATTTATTCAATAATAAAACATATCAAGGTTTATCACTGTCCCCGTTAACCCCACTGTCCTTCAACAGCCCGGGTGATCACTATTATGGTCAAACTTTGGACGATACTTCCTGGAGGTCTGCAAAAGATTTCTGGACATCAACATGCTACACAGCCTCAACATTGGCTGTACCCCTCTCGAAGACATTTTGCAAATACTCGGGCAACTCCTTCCTCATATTTGCCACCACATCCAACTCATCATGAATTGAACTGGCCTCAACCTGGGAGGTCTCTCCCTATGTAGTCCCCTCACGGGCAACTCTTTCCACCCTTCCAGGGTTGAAGACCCGTAACGGAACGTCGGATTCAGTCACAACCAGAGATCTTGCCAACACCAAATCTTCCTTGGCTGAATCGCCATCGCCTTCCATCGGTTCAACCATGGCTGGCCCGACAGGGTCGGCACCCTTCCGGGTAATTATTCCCGGGGCCTTGGCCTCATGACCAGATGAAATCACTGTAGTTGTAGAAACTACAACGCAACCCCAAAGGGCTTGTCTGCACCATTCGTGCACTTGATTCGCTCACCACTGAGCCTCCATTCTCTCAAATAGAAATCCAAATTTCCACCTGTGGGCACCAGAAAATCAATGCCCAGGATAACAAAATGCTACATTTCAGCGAAGACTGCCCTGACTTGGTGCGTGGTCCGACCAACAAGCACCTCTACCCAGGCTTTGCCCAGCACAGCTAATAGACTACCGTCAACCTGCTTCACTTGAACATCTTCCGCCTCCAAGACGGGCCTTTTCTCGACACTTCAAACACCTCAAGGGACTAAGCTTGTGTGGTTAGGGAGACGACATGCCCTAACCCAGACCCTTGATCTGAGTCGACAACCACTTTACAAGCATGGTCAAAGACTTCATGCTTTTCTCACAGGCCTCAACAAGCCTCTGCTCCGTTCGAGAGTCAACAGCTCTCACGAACTTGTAACTGGCGGGCTCTCGGGCCAGCAGCGTGTGCTACTAAACAGTCTCAACATTTTCTGTCTCCAAGGCGGCCTGGACCGCTTCGTCCGAAATTTTCGGACGGGCCCTATTCAGTCCCTTTCGGATCAAATGGATATTGACGGCGTCAATGAAGTGATCCTTATCCAAGTTCTCCCAAGTATCTTCCTGTATCTCAGGATATGCTCTCACCATCAACTCATGGAACACCTGCCCCAATTCAAGCAAGCTTTCCTTCGGCTTTTGGCGCCGGAGCCACTTTGTAGCTTGCTCCTCACTTTACTGGTTTACCTCACGACATGACTCAAGATGACGGAAAATACTCCCTCTAGAGCACTTTCCCACTATACCGGTCAGGAGTTATGTTTTGCTTGCGATTTTGTCGCTCCAAACTTTCCTTCTGACCCAAGTCAACTTTGACACGTGACTCTCATTTCAGTGGCCACGGGCC